TGTGATTCCCGGCATAGTAAACCATGTATGTGATTGTCAGATTCAAAATGGCCAACACCAGTCTGTTTCAGCTCACTAACAGCTAGGATTTTGATGTTTATGAATTTCATTTCATTTTTGGCATTTTCACATTTTCCTAGATTCCTATTTTGTACATTCCATGTTCTGATTATTAATGGATATTTACAGCTGCTTCTCTTCATTTTGAGTTGTGCTCCATCAGCAAATAAGGAGCTCTGGTAGCACAGTGGTAACGAGTCGGGCTGCTAACCTCAAGGTCAGCTAGTTCTAAATTACCAGGAGTTCTGTGGGAGAAAGATGAGGCTTTCTGCTCCCATAAAGATTTACAGCATCAGAAACCCTATACAGGGTTGCTACGAGTCAGAACCGACTTCACAGTACACCACCACCATCAGCAAATGAAGGCCCCGAAGGTTTTACTCCATTTGCATCATCACGGTCAGCTCCACTTTGAGGAGGCAGCTCTTTCCCGATTGTATTTTGAGTGCCTTCAAACCTGAGGGGCTCATCTTCTGGCACTATATCTGGCAATATTCTGGTGATCTTCACCATGTTGCAATCTTCAGTATGCCGACGTTGGCAGTGTTACACCACTACTCATAGGTTTTCAGTAAGTAAATATTTGGAAGTAGTCCGTGTCTTCTTCTTCCTAGTCTGTCTTCGTCTGGAAGCTCAGTTGAAACCTGTCCACAATGGGTGACCCTGCTGGTATTTAAAATACCAGTGACATAGCTTCCAGAATCACACACAAGCTACCACAGTATGACAATCTGACAAATGAGTAGCGGCGGGATGCTATGGTACCCAACTATATTATAGAAATAGATACAATGCTGTTTATCAAAACTGAACATTTTTGAAGTCTGAGTCATATCTAATCCCCAAGGATCTGAACAGGGACTGTGAACCTGTCAATGTTGGGAAACAGCAAGATTCTTGCAGATTTTTTGGGAAGAAAGCATATGGCATGGAGAGACTCACAGAAGGTCATGGGTGGATGTGATTAGACACAGAGGAAGTCGGGAAAGGCAGCACTGGTAGTCAAAGGGAGAGCTGGCCCGTGGTCCCACTGCACAGTCTCTCCTGGTCACCAGCGGAATTACCTGTCTCTGGAACTTCCAGTGGTCGGCTTTTCTTGGCCAGTTTTAGGGCTGCTTCAAGGTCATAGACTTGGGAGCGGGTGAACTTCAGCTCCCTGCGGAGCTCATTAATCTCCTTGATCAAGGAGACATTTTCCTGTAGAGAAAAAAAACAAAACTAAATGAAAGAGTCTGGATGAATGAGCCATGGGCACAGGGCCTCTGGGGAACGTGCAGTGTTGGGCCTGGGCCCAGACTAGCTCTGTGGTTCCTCTACAGGGGCATGAGTTCAGCCTTTTGAGCTACAGCTTCAGGTCGACTTTGGTAAAAAACAAAAAACAAAAACAGCTGCGCATTCTGATCCAACCACTTTTTCCAACATCAATGACAACATTTTTCTAAGCACTTTATATTAATTTAATGCATATCACAATAGCTCTATGAGTCTTGTTGTTAAATGCCTTTGAGCTGTTTCCAACTCATAGCAACCCTGTATAAATAAGATTTACAAGGAGCAGCTGGTGAATTCGAACCACCGACCTTGCAGTTCAAACCGATCTTGTGGTCCAGTGCATTATCCCACAGCACTACACTAGGACCCCATGAGTAGATACTGTTATAACCACAACTTTACAGAGAAGGACACTGAGACACAGAGAGATTATGTAACATATCAAAAGCAGCAGAGCCACGATTCCAGCTCTCAATAGCCAGACTCCAGAGCTCTGAACTCTGAAGCACTATGCTAAACTTTACTATTAAAAAGATTTTTTTTTTTTTTTTGAACATGCATTTATAAGGGCACCTGCTAGGTCCATGGGATACAGACATAAATAAGACATGGTTCCTGCCTTCAGCAGCATACAGGTTAGTGGGGACCACAGAAAAGTAAATGGATACTTAGCATTGTCACATCCACTAGGTCACTCCTTGGAAACCCTATGCAGGTCACTATGAATCAGAACCCACTTGATGGCACTTAATAACAACGTCTACTAGGAAGTCCTGGTGTAGTGCTGTAGGATAAGCACTGGACTGCTAACTGCAAAGATGGTGTTACAAAACCCACCAACAGCTCCTTCGAAATGCTATACAGGATCACTATGAATCGGAACCAACTCGACAGCAGTTAACACAGTAACACATCCACTAGAAGTTCACTTTTTCTTGATTGTGTTTGATCAATATCCATCCATCCATCCAATATTTATTGAGGACCTATTGTATGGGAGGAGTCTTGGTAAGGTGCTGGATTCAAAGTCAGTTTGAACCACAAGGTCGGCAGCTCAAGCTCACTCTCCGCTCTCGGAAACCCAATACAGGGTCACTGGAAGTTGGAAGTGACTCGATGGTGCTTAACAACAGCAATTATATGGGAGGCACTGTTCTGATCCTGGGGTGGACAGAAAGTAAAGCCCTGAGAATTGAGGAGTTTACTGTTTGGTAGTGGGGCCATCTTGCTGTCACTGAGGAGTGGGACACAGAGGAAAAACATTTAGTCCTATCATCTGAATGACCAGGATGGATTCCCTGGAATTTGCCCCTGGGCTGAGACTTGAAGGCGATTTCAAGAAGAGGCACATCAGGAGCAAAGACACAGGAGTATGACACAGCCGATTGTGTATGTGTGTGTTGCAGCAGTCTGGAGCACTGCATGAAGCAGAAGACAGAAGATTAATTAAGAGCTTGGTGGAGACTAGGTTGTGTTGACACTGAATGGTGGGGTCAAGCAATCTCTTTTCTCCCCACATTTCACAAATGGAATGGGACCTTTCATTTCACATTCACCATGAGGGCACTAAGAGCGGCATCATGGTGAGGGGGAATCGACTGGCTACTTTGCTTGTAGAACCCACAAGCTTGGGTTCTATGACCATGCCAGTGAGTCACCCGAGGATCTGAAATGCCGCTTCTGCTTGGGCAGGTCTGGGCAGGTCCTGAGAGCCGGCAATTCTAATCAGCTCCCAGGTGCTGCTGCTGTTGCTGGTGGGTGGGCCAGATCCCATTTTGAATAGGAAGGCCCTAGAAGGGTCTGAATGCCAGAATGCAAGCTAAAGCGCTGGTGGTGCCAGGAACAAACTGTACTTCCACTTGGATGCTACATCGGGAGAGGTGAGTGTAGTCAGAGGCCAGAGAACTGGGTCATCCCAAGCACTCTGTAAATCTTCACACTTAGTTCCTGCTGGGGCTGAGAGCTGGAGGCATTCCAACAGGTTCTTTCCTTCCAGATCCTTTTACCTAAATACTGATCTATACCTTCACGTTTTCAGTATATAATTTAATTTCAGTATTCTTCATTAAAAAAAAAAAAGTCCCTTGGTGGTGCAAATGGTTAAGTGCTTTACAACTAGCCCCAAAGTTAGCAGTTTGAACCTCTTCAGAGGTGCTCTGGAGGTAGGCCTGAAGCAGGTTTACTCTGCACACATGGAATGTCATTAAGTTACAATTTGATGCAAATAACATTAAAAAAACAAACTCGTCCAAACTCTGTCCGTCAACAGATGAATGGATAAATAAAAGATGATGTATATACACCATGGGATACTACTAGCTGTGATGAAAAACGAAGTCCTGATTCATACCGTACATGGGTGAACCTTGAAAACATCTTTCTGAGTGAAATGAGTTAGCCGCAAAAGGGCAAATACTGTATGACCTCACTTATATAAACAAGCAGACACATAGACGTGAAAGATCATTGGGTACCAGGACTGGGAGGGAAAGGTTGTTGTTGTTATGTGCCATGGAGTCGGTTCTGACTCATAGCGACCCTGTACAGGGTTTCCAAGGCTGTAAATCTTTACGGGAGCAGAAAGCCTCATCTTTCTCCTGCGGAATAGCTGGTAGTTTAGAACTGCTGACCTTCTGGTTCGCAGCCCGATTCATAACCACTACGCTACAAGAGCTCCTAGGTAGGGAAAGGTAGAAGGGGTGTTATACACAGGGGTCAATGACTTTCTGGTGATAGTGGTGGGATAGTTGGAAAAGGATAGATAGTACAAAAGGGTGCACAACTTGAAGCATGTGACCAGTGTCACCTAACTCTATGTGTACAAACTGCTCAGATGACGTATGATTTGTTATGTCTTCCTTTTGGATGAAATGCTCAATTATTATTGCCAACTTCTCACTCACCAATCTAAACTTTGTGCCTGTTTTTGTAGAAGTTGGCAGGTTTTCTCCATTGATCTGTTGCCCTTTAACCAGCCTCGGTGATGAATCTCACACGTTCCCTTTTCAGTTAAGCTCTGTCAGTTTCCTCCCTGGAATTTCTCCACGCCAACTTTATGCCCTGACACCATTAATTCAATACTTGTTTATTGAGTTCTAAGACCTTGGGCACTGCCTTGCATGTAAAAAGGCACTCGATAAATATTTGTGGAATGGATAAGCAAATGAATAACTAATGCAGTCGATATCAAGTTGAGTAAGATTCTTACTAACAAGGAACCTTGTTGGGGGTGGGGTGGAGTAGGGAAAACCAGAGCAGAAGGGATGGTCTTAGGGGAGCATGAATGGAGTACTTGCCCGTTCAGGGTCTCTTTCCACTCCTTTTAGTTGCTTTTATTTTGCTTTACTTCTCCAGCCTCGTTCAATACAGTAATAATCATAATCATAGTCAAGACGAGAAACTGGAAGTACCATTTCCCCAGCCCTCTTGGTTTATATTGCTTACTTCTTCCTCTTGGCCATCCTCATTTTGTCCCTGGATCTGACGGATTTTGTGTCTGCCATGAATCACATGTTCATTCTTGCTGCTATGATTGTAACTAGCATTTGTGTTATAATTTGAGGTTCTTGGAATTCTTGGGGTATGCAAGAGATCCTGGCTGGGGACACTAAGGTCAGTTTATATTATGACATTTTATGGAGTCCTGGTGTGGTGCTATACAATACGCAATGGACTGCTGACTGCAAGGTCGGTGGTTCAAACTCACCAGCTGCTCCTCAGAAACCACATACAGCATCGATCACTGTGAATTGGAACCGACTCCACAGTACTTAACAACAACAACATGATACTTAGGTCTGTTGTTAGCGTCTGTCAAGGGAGCCCCAACTCATGGGCTGGCCTATACACCATGCTGCCTGGTTCTGCACCATCCTCATGATCAGTTGAATCAAGAGTTTTCATTGGCTGATCACCAGGCCTTTCACTTCAGTCTAGAAGCTCTGCTGGAACCTATTCAGCATCGTAGCAACACACCAGCCTTCACTGATAAGTGAAGTGCATTGACAAAATCAAAATTAGGTCGCCCTTAGGAAAGGCACGGAGTCCTGGTGTGGCGCTGTGGGTTAATGCACCAGACTGCAAGCCATTTGATCTTCTCAAGTTCACCAGTTGCTCCTCGGAAACCCCACACAGGGTCGCTATGGGTCAGAACCAACTCGATGGCACTTAACAGCAACAACAGGAAAGGCAAGGATTCTACTACTGCCTCATCGTTCATATACAAAGCTTTCTAAATACAGGACTATGCCGAACTGTTTGGGACTGCCATTAGTCAAGACTGACAACAGAGGACCACTGACTGATGACTTTGATTGTTATTGTTGAGCATCGTTGATTCAGTTCTGAGGAGATGCTGGTGAGCTTGAACCACTGACCTTACTGTTCAAAGTGACTTTGCAGTCCAGTGTATTAACCCACAGTGCCACACAAGGACCTGGCAGATCTTTCAGACAACCATGTTAGAGAGAGAAGGGAATGGCTATGGCGCCCCCTCGTGGTCTTCTTTGAGTTGACACTTTAAAGAATACAGCTGTGCCTGACGCTGTGGAAATAGCAGGGGATAGATTTATTCCGTGGACTTGGACGCCTTGCATCAAAGGCGTCTTTATGAAAGCCATAATTAGTGATGCTACCATATGCCCAACTGCACAAACGAACCTGACATTTCTAATTGTCATTTCTACTCTGAAATGTCTTTTGACACTACAATATCCCCCCCTCCCAAGTTCTTCTCATTTCCCCTAACCTGGTAGTCCTCTCCTAAAGGGGTTTCCTGCAGTCTTCCTTTTCCCTACCCTAACCTTTTCCATTCCTGCTAACTTAATCAACCTTTTCAAAACGGAGCGAACACTCTTGCTACTTACAAAAACCAGTGTATGACATTCACGCTCTTTGGTATGGCATGGAAAGCCCTTTTCAACAAGACTGACCCTAAAGTACCTACTGTTCCAGCAGGCTCTTTCTCCCCGCCCCATGCATGCTCTGTCAGGTCAGGTGACTCGTGGCTTTTCAAACATCCCACCCAAACAAACAAACAAAACCATACTGCTATCTAGTTGACTGGAGTCCTGGTGTGGCACTGTGGGTTAATGTGCCATATTGCAAAGCTGTTTGAAGTGCAAGGTCGGTGGTTCAAGCTCACCAGCTGTTCCTTGGAAATCCTATACAGGGTTGCTATGGGCCAGGATCGACTTGACGACACTTAACAACAACAATCTAGTTGATTAAAATGTTGAAGACCAAAGATGTCAGCTTGAGGACTAAGGTGCGCCTGACCCAAGCCATGGTATGTTCAATAACCTCATATGCATGTGAAAGCTGGACAATGAATAAGGAAGACCATAGAAGAATTGATGCTTTTAAGTTATGGTGTTGGAAGAGAATACTGAAAGTGCCATGGACTGCCAAAAGAACCAACAGTTCTGTGTTGGAAGAAGTGCAGCCAGAGTGCTCCTTGGAAGCCAGGCTAGCCAAATTTCGTCTCTCATACTTCAGACATATTGTCAGGAGGGACCAGTCGCTGGAGAAGAATATCATGTTTGGTAAGGTGGAGGGTCAGAGAAAAAGAGGAAGACCCCCAGTGAGATGGATTGGCAAAGTGGCAGCATCAATGGGCTCAAGTGTGGCAACAAATGTGAGGTTGGTTCAGGACCAGGCAGTGTTTGGTTCTGTTGTGCACAGGGGCGCTATGAGTTGGTACCGACTCGATGACACCTAACAACAGCAACATCTAGTTGATTCCAACTCATAGCAACCCTACAGGACAGGGCAGAACTTCCCCCTTGGGTTTCCAAGGCTGTAAAACTGAATAAGAGCAGACAGCCTCATCTTTCTCTTATGGAGCGACTGGTAGGTTTGAACTGCTGACCTTTGATTTGGCACCCCAATGTTTAACCCACGGCACCATCAGGGGCCCTTAAACATCCCGCAGGTCACCTTTATTGTATTCTCTCAGGTTGTCCTTTCTGTCTGGAGGGCTCTTCCCCAAATTGTTCTGTGACCACTACTAGTCACCCTTCCAGACTCAGCTTCAGAAATCTTAGGAGTCCCCAGGCATAAGTAAACCCCACTTCTCATATGAGCACAGCAATGGTTACACTGGACCGAGTAGTGATGCTCTGCATTGATTCCAAGACCCCTAATATGAGCTCCTTGTTGCCATCACCGTCTGGTAGATCTCATGGTGCTTGATCCAGGTCTGTCAGAGGAGAACTGGGCTCTAACTGGTTGTCAGGGACTGAGGTTTTGGAAGTAGGTCACCAGGTCTATCTTCCTAAGTGTTTCTGGGTGGACTTGAACCACCAGGTTTTGGTTAGCATCACCCAGGAACATTATGATATTCATCTTGGAACCCTGTACGGCTGGCATCGAGTTTGGCATGTAATAGGCCCTCAGAGAATGTGTACTGAATGAATAAAATGTGTGTGTGAGCTGTTTCTATCCCATGGCAACCCTTATTTTCATAGCTGCAAGTATGCTGAAGAACGAGACAGTGACCTCATTTCGGCACTTATTTTCGGATGAGTTTCTCTCAGATGCTGTGTCTGCCCGGCCTTCCTCAGTCTTAGGACTGAATTGGTGGGGTCCTGCTAACTGCAGGGCTAGTTACAGTCATCTCCTCTCACAGCCCTGGCCAGTCCCTCCTGCCTGGATCAGGAGCTCAGGCCACTGCTGGGGACCTGAAATTGGTTGTGCTGCCCATCCGCCATGTCTCTACCACTTGGGCACTCCTGATGGGCATCCCCACTGGATTTCTGCATGCTTATTGAGTTCTTTTGTTTGGAAGAAGGGAAGGGAAGGGAAATAGTATTTGTGGAACCCTTGTTCTGTCCTACAGGGTGACTATGAGTGGGAAGTGACTTGACAGTAGTGGGGTGTTTTTTGTTTTTATTCTGTCCCCCAAACCAAAGTCCAAAACCACGTGTCTAGGTGGCATAAATGGTTAGGCGCTCAGTTGCGAACCAAAAGGGTGGATGTTTGAGTCATCCTAGAGGTACTGTGGGAGAAAGGCCTGGTGATTTACTTCTGAAAAATTAGCCACAGAAAACCCTGTGGAGTACAATTCTCCTTGGACACATGGAAGGCCACCTTGTGTTGGAATCAGTTCAACAGCAATTGGTTTATCTGTTGCAGCCAGGCCAGTTCTTAATGGCAGCTATCTTATTATAAGATAAGTTAGTTACCCTATTCCCTTTTCACTATCTACCCAGCTTGGCAGTCCATCTCCATTTAACAGGTAGGAACGGTGGGGCCTGGAGAAGTGAAGGAATTTACCTAAGGTCTCCTTGCAAAAGGAGTGGCCAAGGCAGGCACAGGGCCCACCTCTTCCACCACCCTGATGGAAAGTTGCTCTGAGCCCAGGCTTGTCAGCATGGTCACTGATACCTTGCCCTGGCCCTTTAAGAGCAACAAAGGAAAACAATTTTTATCCTCCAGAACAGACCCAGAATCTCAATGTATTAAACTAAGAGCCTGTCTGGTTGAAGGAGCAGGAATGCAGAGCCCTGCCTCGTGGATCCTTCTCCCTCCCTGCATTCATCTGGGACACTTCTAAGGCCCTGCAGGGCTCCCTCTGCGTCCCACAGGTTTAAACTGCTGCTCTAGAACACACTCTTCTGGGGCGTTCCCTTGTTGATGACTCCCTCTACCAGCCTTCTGTGAACAGCAGCAGGGCTGGACAGAAGTGCTGCTTGGGTCTCCAATCCCCAGCCCCTTACTGGCCTAACAGGAGTTGGCCTGCAGCCTCTGGGATGTGGGGGAGCCAGAGGGTGATGTTTCTGCCTTGAACATCCTCCTACTAATGTCTTCACCCTGGGGCTAGCCTGTGGTCTTCCACTTTCACCCCTTCTCTTTCTTTTCTTAGGAATGACATTTCCTTTGGGTGTCTACTTGGCATGGAGAAATGGACCCAGCCCCTGGGAGGGCCCCACAGGCCTGTGCTCCGGTGTTAGGACACCTGCTCTGCAGTTCATTCTGGTCCCACTGCCTAGCTTCTCATGCCCCAGAGCCCCTGTTGGCTGACTCTAGGCTTGGGGTGGGAGTTGGGGGTCTTGAGGTCCTTAGCAATGGCTCTGTGGACCAGTTTCTAGTACACAGAGGTCCCACCAATAGGACCAACTCCTGTATCTGCGTCTTTTGTCTGGGCTTTCAGGGCCCATAGGAAGGGCAATGGTTTGATGGTTGGGCTGGTTTTAAATGGCATGACACCAGCCTGGTTGGGCCTGAGTTGCAGTGCGCTTTGCATGCGCATTAGTGAAACTGGGAACTGGTTTGTTTCCATCCAGATGCCACTGGTCTCCTTGCCAGTATTTTAATTGTGGCATTAGGAGATGTACACATAAATTGCTCCATGCCTTTTAATGTGATGCTGATGTTGTCTTTTGATATGAATCCACTTGAACTGCTTTCGACAATACTGATACCCAAAGTGAAATCTGGCAGAAGATTCCCAACTGGCATTTCTGACAATGTGTTGAAGTGGAGGCAGACAGTAATGGGGTCAGGCTGTCTAAACAGCTCAGGAAGGATTCAGGGTGGTGGGTGGGGAGAGCTCATTAAACCAAAGAGAGAGGTCTGCTCTTAGGTTGGGTGTGGTTAGCTCTGGTCCCTAGAGATAAGGGTAGGAACAGCAGGTACCAGAAAACTCAGATGGGGAGAGGGAGAGGAAGAGGGGTGTGTTCAGAGGAAAGATCATGTGACATGAACAGCCAACTAGAAAGCTGTACAATAATGCAAGGTGAAATCAGTTAGAAACACTGCAGATGAGCAGGGTCACAGTGACCAGGATAGCTAAAATGACATGGATGAAGGTACGGAGGGAACAGAGGTCAATGGGAGCAGTGAAGCAGGACACAGGAGTGCAGTGGATAAAGATGGGGCAGAAAAAACATCTGGTAGTGACTGTGATGTGAGAGGGGAAGCAAAGTGGACTGGTGCTGCCACAAGGTAGGGAGTGAGCCTAGATGTGCCTAGAAAACCTTACTGGTGGGGTGGCCCAGGACCAGGCACACAGCTCTGGGAGTCAAAGAGAGCCTTAGGGGAAGCTAGGGACATTGGGAAGGCCCTGGGTGAATCTCTGGTCCCTCAACAGGGGATGAGGAGGAGCCTTCTTGTAGGTACCTGCATGATGCGGACATAGTCGGTGCGGTGCAGCTCACTCTCCTTGACCACCTTCTTCTTGAGTGTGGCCAGGTTCCTTTCCAGGTGTTCCCGCTGCCGGGAGTACTCCTGCTGCAGGTCTGTGTTCAGGCCTGCGATCTCTACCTGATGGGGTCAAGGGCATGCTCAGTAAGGAGGAAGGCCCCCAGGGAGGGAGCAGGGAGGCAGGAGAAGGGAGCTGAGCTCACCATGTCTGCCCGCTGCACATACTTCTCAAAGAGAGCTCGGACCTTTTCCTTCAGCGGTCGGGGCTCCTGGATGTACGCCACGCAGTTGTGCAGGTCTGTCTTAAACCGCTTCACCAGAGCTTCCAAGTCTCGCTCCTGTAACCAGAGGCATTTACTTCTCAGTGCTGCAGGTGTAGGAGCAAGGACCACAGGACAGGCTGATGGCACCAGAAAGGGACAAGAGATAGCTGACCACCAGAGGCCCTACTGGACAGAGATCTAGACAGGGACACAGCTGAGATGTAGAGGCACTAAGCCTCATGTGCAGCTGCCCTGGGCTAGGCACTTGGCCTGGACACTTTGTGTGGTACTTTCTTCTTGAGAGGCCATATAGACCACTTCCTTTAGTAGTCCCGGACTCATTTCAGGACCACAAGCCTTAAAAGCTGAAAGGAAGTTCAAGTGGTCACCTTTACTCCTTTTGAGCCCAGGCAGATGGTTTGGATTCTCTTGTAGATCCCTGGGGGGGATCTTCCACCTCCTTCTTAAAAACTCACCCAGTGTTCACATTCCTGACAGTCAAGAGGGCTGCTGGGAGTGGGTGGCTACTAAGGACTCAATTGTGTACTATCAATTGTGCACTACCCACACACCCCTTCCCTCCACTCCAGTATGTGTTGGAATCCTAATCCCTATGCCTGTGCATAGGATCCCATTTGGGAAACAGAGGTCCCTTTGTTATGTTAATGAGGCCATAATCAGTGTAGAGTGTGTCTTTAAACCTAATGACTTTTGAACCCATTAGACACAGAAAGAAGCAAGTACAAATAAGGCAAACAAAGATGCCCCCTGGAGACTGCCAAGGAACCAAAGAATGCTGAGGTTACAAAAATGCAGACAAGGATTTCCTCCCAGCCCGAACCCAGGGAACTGAATTTGGATTTCTAGTATCCTAAACTCTGTTTGGTAAGGTGGAGAGTCAGAGAAAAAGAGGAAGACCCCTTAATGAGATGGATTGGCCAAGTGACAGCATCGATGGACTCAAGCGTGGCAACAGTAGTGAGGTTGGCCCAGGATCGGGCAGTGTTTCATTCTGCTGTGCATAGAGTCGCTATGAGTTGGTACCAACTCGATGGCACCTAACAACAACAAAACTGTGAGACAATAGATTTCTGTTCATTAGGGCCATCCACTGTTTTTCTGCGATAGCTGTACCCAGAAACTAAGACAGTAGGAGGGGGGAGGGATCATGAAACGGGGCAGATTGATTCATCTGCGAACTTGGTCTAGCTTTCTTCTCTTCCATCTTACTTTCTGTGGTACCCAGCTCCTCTTATACCTGCCTAGAGAAAGACTCTTCTTTTGCTCCTCCTATACTGCTTTATAAAGGAGCTCTGGTGACGTAGTGATTATGAATCGGGCTGCGAACCGCAAGGTCAGCACTTGGAAATTACCAGCTGTTCCATGGGAGAAAGATGAGACTTTCTGCTCCCGTAAAGATTTACAGCCTCGGAAACCCTGTATGGGGTCGCTATGAGTCGGAACCTACTTCATGGCACATAACCAACCAACCAACCATACCCCTTTTATGGAGTCCTGGTGTGGCGCTGTGTGTTAATGCACCAGACTGTAAAGCCATTTGAACTGCAAGGTCGGTAGTTCAAGCACACCAGCTGCTCCTAGGAAATCCTATACAGGGTCACTATGGGTCGGAACCGACTCGACAGCACTTTACAACAACAACAACAACATACCCCTTTATTTCTGCCTTGCATTATAATTATTTGTATATGACCCAATCACTGAATATATCCTAAGTCTGTGGAGGGCAGAATCCATGAAGATTTTAGCATGATCTACTACAGTGTTGGAGCCCTGGTGTGGCATCATAGCAAAAGCACTGGACTTCTAACGAAAAGGTTGGTAGTTCAAACCCACTAGCCACTTTGCAGGAGAAAGAGGCGGCTTTCTGCTCCTGCAATGATTTATAGCCTTGGCAGCCCTAAACAGGGTTGTGATGAGTCTGAACTGACTCATTGGCAGTGAGTTTGCTTTTGGGTTTGAGAGTACAAAGTTAATGCTTCATATGGAAAAGGGAAAAATTCAATCTGATTCAACATACAGGGTGCTGATCAAGTCTTGGCCCAGGACCGGAAGACCTAGTTTCTTGTACTGGTTCTGTAGGTGTTAACTAGCTAAAGATCCTGGGTAGACTTCCTTAACCTCCTCATCTCTCTGGCCTTACTTTCCTCACTTAATCATAAAAAGAGACTAGAATAGATGGTCTTTGAGTTCTTCTCTAGTTCAATTGCCATTGAAGTCATCCAATTCTTGGTGAACTCTTGTCTGTCAGAGTAAACTATGCTCCCTAGGGTTTCAGTGGCTGATTTTTTAGCAGTAGATCACCAGAGCTTTCTTCTGAGATGCCTCTGGGTAGACTCAACCCTCCATCCTTCTTATTAGCAGCTGAGCATGTTAACAACTTGCATCACTTAGGGACTCTAGAGTTTTTCTAGCCTTAGCAATACTTTGGTAATCAAAGCTGTTAAGCACAGACTACAAATGACCTTCTGAGCATGTTCTTTCCAAGCCAAGCAATCCAATTGCTATGAACATTCTTACAAAAAGGGCTTTCCACTCCTTTGATCACTTTACCCCAAATCAATTCATAGTGTCAGATGGACTCAGTCATATAAATTTGCATGGGCCTGAAATCAGGCAGGGCTGTGAGCAAGTAGTGAGTGTGAATTAAAGTGGGAACTGCATCGCAGCTCTGGGCTGGCTCTGCCTCTTCGATGCCAGCTGCCCTTCGCGGAAGGTGCCAGATTCTGGATCCAAGAACTGCCAGACTCAGAAAATCCTCACACCTTCTGTCTCTCTCTGCGCATTTCCTGATCAGTGGCTCTTAATTTCTGCCACAATTCTGTGATGTTCAGCTCCAGCTGTGTATTCTGCTTATGGAAACGCTCCAGCTCAGCTTCCATCTATAGAGAACAAGGGAAAAGAGTCAAGAACAAGAAACTAAGTGGATGAAAATTATATTTAGGAACTGAAATCTTTTGGTTGGAACATCTCCCCAGACACCAGGGTACTTCTATTCTCATTTCCACCATGTTTTCTAGAATGAAGCCCCTCTTTTTAACCTTTGTGATCTTAAAAGTCCCAGATTCCCCATCCCACAACTGGTTAACCCATGATCACATTTCTATGACCAGCCTAGAGCCAGCTTAGATCTTTCCTGTTTTGTTAGTTTCCCCCTTTCTCCCACCGTGTTGTTGTTGTTAGTTGCCATTCAGTTGGCTCTGACCCATGGAGACTCTATATATCTAACAGGATCTAACGTTGCCTAGTCTTGGGCCACCTTCATGATCGTTGGAATGTCTGAGTACACTGTTTTGGTCACTGGACCAATCCATTTCACTAAGGGTTCCCTCATTTTCTCTACCCTTCTACTATAACAAACATGATGCTCTTTTCAACCATGTTATTTATTTTGTTTTCTTGAATTCCTTAGGAACTGATAAATCCCAAACATCATTACCTCAACTCAAGCATAAGCAGGGTTCTCTAGAGAAATACCTTCCTTATCTACTTTGTGAAGTTGTGTGAATGAATTGTCACCATCTGGGGCCACAACAGAGTCAATTCTTAAGCACAAAATTGTTTTGGTTTTAAACTTTTTACTGTGAATTGGGTGAAAGTTTACAGAGCAGATCATCAGTTTTACATTCAATAACTCATACACACTGTGCTTTATCTCACTGGTTTCAATCTTACTGTAACATCACTTTCCTTACTTCCGCCCTGTTTTTTGTTTCCATTCCTCTTATTTTTGAATTTATATATGCTGAACTTTGGGTAAATGCTGCTCTTTTGATCACTAATGGTTGCATATTCTAAGGTGTGCATAGCTCACTAGTGTTGTTGTTCCCCCAACAGACCTGTCTATTGTTTGGTTGAAATTGAACCACAGAGGTGAGTTCTGTTCCAGCGCTGAAGGGTAAATAAGAGTCACAGTCTTGGGGATTCCCTCAAATGCTTATCTAAGCAGTAGGCCTAGGTTTTTTTTCTCCCCATGGTTTTGAGTTGTGTTCCACATTTTCTCGCACTCTACTTAGGACCTTCTAATGTGTCTCCTTTCAGAACAGTTGGTAATAGTAGCCGGGCACCATCTAGTTCTTCTGGTCTCAGGATTCTGAACACAATGTTTATGTGGCTCGTTAGTCCAGAGGACTAATTGTTTCCCTGGGTCTTTGATTTTTATCAGTCTTCTTTCCTTCAGACAAGAAGAGACCAATAGTTGCACTTTAAATGGCTGCTCCGGAGCTTTTAAGACCCCTGTCACTACTCACCAAAGTAGGGTGTAGAACATTGTTTTTGTGGACTGTGTTATGTCAGCTGACCATAGAAGCACCCCTAGTCAAAAGCATAAAACAGGAAAGAGGTTCCAAGAAGAAACCTCAGTCTCATTGTTTTTAAAAGGTCTTAAAAAGTACATTTGAGGAGAAGGTCTCATCTTCAGAAGAAAAATAAGCCATCAGTGAGTTTCTGAAAGGTCAAAAATAAAAATATATTGTTGCATTTGTACTATCCAAAGGCATATGAATGACAAATGTTGTCGGTTGCAACTCACATCAACCTTGTGGTTAGCAGTTCAGTGCTTATCCTATAGCACCATACCAGGACACTATGAGTCCTGGTGTGGTGCTGTGGAATAATGCACTGGACTCTAAGGTCAGTCTGAACCATAAGATCAGCAGTTCAAACTCACCAGCTGCACCTTGTAAACCCTTTACTCGCTTGAGATATCAAAGAGATTGTCCGATGATTTCTGCATTCCGTTGGGTCACCTCTCTTTGGAATGGGCACAAATATGGATCTCTTCCAATCATTTGGCCAGATAGTTGTCATCCAAATTTCTTGGCAGAGATGAGTGAGTGCCTCTTGTGCCGCCTCACTTTCTTGAAAGATTTCCATTTTTATTCCATCAATTCCTGGTGCCTTGTTCTTTGCCAATTCTTTGGACTTCCTCCCTGAGTATCATTGGCTCTTGATCATATGCTACCTCTTGAAATGGTTGAACATTAACCATTTCCTTTGGTACAATGACTCTGTGAATTCCTTCCATCTTCTCTTGATGCTTTCTGCATCATTCAATAATTTGCCCAGAGAATCTTTCAATAACGAAAGTTGAGGCTTGAATTTTTTCTTCAGTTCCCCTAGCTTGAGAAATGCTGACCGTGTTCTTCCTTTTTGGTTTTCTGATTCCCAAAATGGCACATTAGGTTAGTCATATAAAGGGAGTGATAAGGAGTGTATTCTCTGCCTCTGCTCCTTGTTTTCAGGATTCATGTCATTCTGACAATAAAAATCATCTGTGTCAGAAAAATGATGGAAGATGTCAAATTTGAGTAGCTAACTGGACCAGGAGCCCAACTAGTACATGGGAACAAGCATCCTTTTCCCTGAGTGGAAATTCCATCTACTTTTCTGTGTGCTACCTATCACTGTCTTTAGTTCTCACTTGGGGGTGGCAGTGGGCTGATTTTGCTCCCTAGCAGACATCTGGCAATGTCTGGAGACATTTCTGGTTGTCACACCTTGGGGGAGGGAGAACTACTGGCATCTAGTGGGTACAGACCACCAAACATCCTGCAAGGAGAGCCCCTCACAACAGAGAATTACCCACCCTAGTATATTGAAAATGCTGAGGTTGAGAAACTGCACTTGGCAAATAACTAAAATGGTTAAATTCTGGAAACTCTTCTGCTGGGAAGGAGAGATGGATCCTGGAGTCATCAAAAAGAAGCTGGATTTGTATAGCAATCAAAAGAAAGAAAGACACACACACACACACACACACACACACACACACATACACACACAGGAGGGAGGAAGTAAAGGAATGAGGGGGCAAAAAAAAAAAAAAGTCTGGAAAAGTACCTGTGAGGGGAGCTCCCTAAATCCAGGAAGTGTTACTCTCTCAGTCACAGAGCACCTCCACTCTTCCAATGAGGTTTCCCTTCTGGGGCAAAGGAGCTTTACAGAAGGCCCTCAGTGGTGGACCACATGTGTCTCTGGGTTGTCAGGGGAAGCCCTGAGGACAGAAGGCCCAGGAAAGGAAACTGTCCAGAGAGCTCAGGCACCATCTGGCACCAGGGGCGGATGCAGGAGGATGTGGGCATATCTCTGCTGAGAACCAACCCCATGGTTAGCCCTGTAACTGACGGGAAAGTGAATAATCCCACAGGTGTATTAGGCTTGGAAGTAAGCTGAGCTTCAGCAAACAGCAGACCCAACCCTAAATCCAGCTGACAAATGTCACGAAGGGACCGGGAAATGTGGCAGTGATCTCCAGGGGCTTATATAACACATTGGAGTCCTGGTGTGGCACTGTGGGTTAATGAGCTGGACTGCAAAGTTGGCGTGAACCACAGGTTGGGCAGCTGCTCCTTGGAAACCCTATACAGGGTCATTATGGGTCGGAAACGGCTCAACGGCACTTAACAACAAGACCGACATAGAACACATTGGAATCCTGGTGTTACGCTGCAGGATAAGCACTTGATGGCTAACCCTGAGGTTGGCTGTTCAAACCCACCAGCTGCTCCTTGGAAACCCTATATAGGGTCTCTATGAGTTGGAACTGACTCGATGGCACTTAACAACCACAACAGTGGAGTCCTGATGTGGTGCTGTATAATAAGCACCGGAATGTAAAGGTGGTTTGGACTGCAAGGTTGGTGGTTCAAACTCACCAGCCACTCCTTGGAAACCCTATACTGGGTTGACAGCACTTAACAACAACATATAGCACACTGAGGTTCCAGGTGGGTAGGGTGATTGGCAGGTGGTCCAGAGGGACACATCTCTGTGGTCAGTTGGGGATATCCTCCTTCATACCAGAAGGTAGAGAGAACAGGACTGATCCCCCACTTGGCTTTTCTGATTGGGTCTCTAAGAGAACAATCTTCCCCATGGTGCACTGCTATCCACTTTTAGCTGGGTCAGCACTGCGCTCTTGGTCTCTCTTTTCTTTGTTATCTTTGCTCATTACAATGATAGAGTAATGGACTGGATAGGGTAGTCCCTCCAAGTCCTGGTGTGGTGCTGTAGGATAAGCACTGGATGGTAATAACGGTTTCAACTGCAAGAGTGCACTTCAAACTCACCAGCCCCTTCCTCAGAAACACTATGCAGGGTCACTCTGAGTCAGAATTGACTCACTCGAAAGCACTTAACAATAACAACAGCCTCCAGAATATTGTAAGTACTGAGGTTGAGAAACCTTGTACTTGATGAGTGTGAACATTTGAGCTGAGACCTGAAAGGTGAGAAGCAGTCAGTCATGTGAGGATCTGGGGGAAGAATCTTCCAGGCAGAGGGAAGAGCACAGTAGAGGTCCCAAGACAGGAAAAGCTTGGTTTGTTCTGGGAACTGTCAGAAGGCTGGTGGGCTGGAGGATGAGGAAGCAGCTTCAGGACGATACTGGAGAAGCAGGTGGAGGCTGGATTGTACAGGGATTTGTGGGCATTGGTAAGGAAAACTCCTTACCAATTTTATTGTACGTGGAATGGGAAACCACTGGATGGTTTGCTCTGGCCCGTATGTGGAGAACAGACTAAAGTCTAGATGAGATATGAAGGCAGTGATGTTAGCAGAGGAGGGAAGGAGTGGTTGGACCTGAGATTTTTTTTTTTTGGAAACCGAGTAGACAGGCTTTGGTGACGATTTGGATATAGGAGGTAAGGGAAGGGAAGGATCAAGAAAGGTGTATCATTTCTATATTAAACAAAACCCAAAACAAAACTGACAAACCACAAAAATCCCCACAACTGGGCCAATAAGCAACATCATGATAAATGGAGAAAAAATTGAAGTTGTCAAGGATTTCATTTTTCTTGGATCCAAAATCAATGCTTCTGAAAGCAACAGCCAGGAAATCATATTACATTGGGCAAATTTACCACAAAAGATCTCTTTAAAGTATTAAAAAGCACACCTGACCCAAGCCAGGGTATTTTCAATCACTTTGCACACATGTGAACGAATTGTGTTGGTGAAGAACATTAAATGTACGGACTTACAGAAGAATGAACAAATCTGCGTTGGAAGAAGAACATGCCAGAATGCTCCTTAGAAGTCAGAATGACAAGATGTCATCTCATGTTATTTTTGGACAGATTATCAGAAGGGACCAGACCCTGGAGAAAGACATCATATTTGATAGAGTAGAGGGTCTGTGATAACAGATTGGCACAGTGGCTATAACAATGAGCTCAAATAGGATGATGCAGCACTAGGCATTGTTTGGTTCTGTTGTCCAGAGGGATCACTATGAGTTAGAACTGACTTAACAACAAGAACATATTAAGCAACTGGGTAGATCATGGTATCTTTACCGAGAAATGGGAAACAGGGGAAAGGAAAAGAAAATGTGCTTTGGGGAAAACATCAAGAATTCTGTCACTTTAGATTAATCAGCCTATCAGCGGCTCTTTCCAGTGAGAGAAGTACAATGTGATGGGGCACAGCAGGTACAAGGGGGTACTTGTACCCTCTTGGTCTCACAGAAGCCCTTGCCCAACTGATTGTGTTCCGAATCTCTTCTCTACCTCCATCCTGTTTGCTTCTCAGAACACACACTTAACTTAGGCCTCTTTCCTGCTCAAGAGCCTTTGATGACTTCCTATTCCTTATCAGATGAAGTCAAAACACCTTAGCCTGACACAGGGCCTCAATCAACATTTCCAGTTAGGAAAAATGCTTAACCGGAGGGTTGGACTTTCTGGTGAGATAGCCTGTTGGCTGAGTGTACATTGCCCTCTGGTGGTAGCAGACCCAACAGTGAGATTTCTCTTTTAAGAGCCTACATCTATCTATCTGGTAGAGAAGTGGTTACGAGTCGGCCTGCCAACCTCAAGGTCAGCATTTCGAAACTACCAGAGGTTCCGTGGGAGAAAGATGAGGCATTCTGCTCCCGTAAAGATTTATAGCCTAGGAAACCCTGTGCAGCGTCACTACGGGTTGGAACCCACTCCATGGTACTTAACAAAAAACAGCAACATCTATCTACACATTGTGGTTAAAAGCCCATCCCAAGGCCTTGCATGCAGCAAGCAGAATCTCAAAGTATTTCACTTTTGCACAATGGAACCCCTGGGTGAGTCATAGATTTCCCTGTAGCATCCTTTAAGGAGGGGAGGCTGCACACACCGTGAGAGGGGTAGAGGGCCAGGGAGGACAGCTTTTATCCCCTGAGGTTCAAGGGAGGAGACGCAGGATCTGACAGGCTTCTTACCTCCTGAATCTGTTCCTTCATCACCTTGATCTCATTCTCACGAGGTTCTATTTGCTTCTTCAGCTCCTTTATTTTGTAGTCAAGCACAAACTTGAATTTCTCTAGTTCCTGGTTTTTCTTTTTCAGATCATAAATTCGCTTCTCCTGGGGTTGGGAGTAGGGAGATGAGAGAGAAGTGAGAGACATCACAAGGTCCTGGTAGGTGGAATTTTTTTAGGGCAAAAGCACAAAATGCTGGCCTCTGCTGATTAAGGAGGTCACAGGCTTCTCTACTTGCTGGGGATACAAAGGCTGTCTGTCTCCCCATTCACACACTCGCTCATATATAGGTTATGGCAGACTGCACGTTCCAAAGATGGCCTCAGTGATAGCCCTTGTACCACCTGATCTTCTATATGCATCCGTACAGCTTCTCTATCTGAGATGGAATCTCATTTCCCTCCTCTTGCATCCATCTGACTAGAATAAATGACTCATGTGTAACCTAGTGATGCTGTGTGGCTTCCAGATAGGTCAGAAAAGACCCAACAGCTTTCTCTTGCTCAGGAGGAAGCCATTTATTTATATGTAAAACCCAAACTACTGCCAGAGAGTTGGTTCTGACTCATAGTTAACCTGCTGGTGGGTTGAACTGTGGTCAGCAGTCCAACACCTGACCCACAGGGCCACCATGGTTCCTTACCCATATATAACAAGTCCAGTTACCCTGAGACCACCATGCTGAAGAGCACAGGCCCAGCTGAGTCCTTTTCCAAGTCATCCCTGCCAAGGTGTCATTCATGTGACTGAAGAAACCATCTTGGAAGTATATTTTCCAGTCCCTAGCTATTTGAATGACCCCAGCCTTTAGAATCTTCCCAAATGAAGCTATGATATGGGGTGGGGTGGGGTGGGGGCAGGGTAAACAAATCGTCTATTATATATACCCTGTCCAGAATAGATTCTAGATCTATTGAATCTGGGAGCATAATAAAACAGGTGTTGTTTGTCACCACTACGTTTTGGGGGCAATTCATTACATGGCAATAGTAGCTGGAACACAGGTCTATCAAACATTGATTGGATCAAGACCTTTTTACCAAATATGGGGCTTCCATGACAATTTTCTAGCTAGCAAAATAGGTCAACAAATATAACCCTATAATGTGGTAAGTGGGGAGTGTGGTGGCTCTGTAGGATAAGGGCTGGGCTGCGAACCAGAAGGTCGTGGGTTGAGCCCACAGGCTGCTCCATGAAGGAAGATGAGGCTTTCTGCTCCTGCAAAGATTTTCAGCCTTGAAAACCCTATACAGGGTTGTTGCTATGAGTTGGAACCAACTCCACAGCACCTAACACCACTTACCAATGTGGTAAGTGCTGTAAGAGGGGAAGGCACAGAGACATGGTCTATAACGAGGGAGCTGAGAACAGTTTGCATGAATGTAAAGTTGCCATTCATAGGGGGAAGTCAGATGCAGGGCTGGCTTGCTGGAGGAAGGCAAGGATCTTGCCTGTTGAGTTAGAGAGTTTGGAACTTATCTCAGTCTAGGGATCAGCAAACTACAGTTCTCAGGCCAAATCTGATCTGCCATCTGTTCTTTTTAAAATAAAGTTTTATATGAATACAGTCACATTCATCAGTTTCACTCATGTTACAATGGCAGCATTGATAAGTTGTGACAGAGGCCATATGGACTGTAAAGTCTAAAGTGTTTACTATTGAGCCTTTTACAGAAAAAGTTTCCTGTCCTAAGCTGCAAACAACTGGGAGAACTACATAATGACATTTGCCAACAGGCAGCATATGGAGGATGCATCAGAGAAGTGGTGGGTTTTAGAGGAAGGCAGGAAGACTGGCTTACTGCAATTTTCTATATCGGGGGTCTTGACCTCTTTATTATCAAACCCTACTTTGGGAATCTAAAGAGAGCTTTGGATCCTTCCTAGACAAATGCCCAGCACCTACACAAATGCTCAAATGTAGAACTTATGTCTAGGCACTATCTTATTTAATTCTCATAGGACCCCCATGAGTTAGTTGTTACCCCACTTTACAGGTGAGGAAACAGAGGCATAGAAAAGCTGCCCAAGGTCCCATGGCCAGTGAATGGATGCATGGCACTGGGGTCTATGAAGCCCATGCTCTGAACCACTGGTGGATTCTGCCAGAACTAAGGCAGTAGTGGCAGGAGGGATGGAAAGAAGGGCACAGAGTCTAGATTTGCTCAGGATGATGTTAAATTCTCAATACTGAGGGGTATGCCCTGAAAACTGTGAGGTATTGGGTTCTGTTTTGTGAGTACAGCTAATGCAGCCCACTGGATTCCCAAGAGTTACGGGCCAACCATAAAAGAACGACTGTCTGACTTCTATGCTGGCAGTGGGCCAGGCAAGTTACCACCAGTCTATGGGGACTTGTCACCCTAGGATGCCTGAAGAGTAAAGGGTATTGGCTTTGGGTCAACCCACTCAGGTTGTCAGTCCAACTTTGTCACTATGATCTGTATGACTTTGGGCAAGATACTTAGCCTCTTAGAATTCAGTCTCCTGAGCTATAAAACGGGATTGCTCATGCCCTCGTAGCTTGCTGGGAGAATTCAATGTGATGTGGTTGTAGCCATTAGCCTAGTGCCTACCATAAAGCACCAGCACCAATTGCCATAGAGTTGATTCAATTCATGTTAAATAGGGTTTTTTAATAGCTGACTTTTTTTTTGGGAAGTGGATTTCCAGAGCCTTTATTCTGAGGTTATTTCTGGGAGGACTTGGACCTTTTTCAGTTAGCAGCTTGGTGAAATTTAACCATCTGTATCACTCAAAAAAAAAAAAAAGTTTTTGTTCTCTCATTGACCACTCATTCCCCATCAAGATAAATAAATGTATTCAGGGAAGGCAGGGATCTTCCCTATCCCGTGCTTTGTCCTCATTGAGTTAGTCCACCCTAGGCTGTAGTGAGGGAGGGCAGAAGATGAGCTTTCACCTTATCTTGAATGGTCTCGTCTCTTTCCTGGATCTCCCTCTTGAGGCCTTGGATATCCTTCTCCAGGGATTTAATGACTCCTTGCAGCTTCACCTGCTCTCCTTTCAGGGTCTCAATGTCACTGGTTCGCTCTTCAATATCCTTCTGCAGACTGCTGAACTAAACAAGGGCAACAACAACCACCAAGCACCCTCTTGGAATTCATCTTCATCCCTCCCAGCTGTCTGTGAATTCAAAGAGCCCCCCATCACTAACCACCTGTAGTCTGAAACCCTGTACTTTCTAGGAAGCATTTCACGCATCTGGGCTTTTAGGAGTAGATTTTTAGAGAATTTGTGACAGTTTGGAAATTTCCCAGAAAAGCCAGTTGTGAAGACCAAATAGTTGATGTAAGATGCTGTCTGATAAGATCCAGTCCCATTCCACTTATACCTCTACATCTAGAGACTTTTGAGACCAACTCCTTGAATGGAACAGCAATCTTTCTCATGACCACATTAAAAAGACTGAGGGGGTCCATGTCCCATCAAGGTCAAAGAGACTGATTGCCTTCTGGATTTACTGGTAGTGTGATTTTTAATAGAAAGGAGTGTGGGCTTACTTTGAACTTGGCCTCTCCAGGACTAGATGCTTTGCGGAAACTGTGAACTGAATCCTCTCTTACCCCAACTGTCAGTGAACATTTGCTTCATCCCGTAAACTAAACATCCTTCATCCTGATTCCTTTTCCCCATGGAGTCAGAAGAGTTGCAACCCACGACTCCTTGCACCAAGAGCTGGCAGACCTCAGGCTAAGACTTTAGAACTTATTTCCATTTCTATCAGAGGTTTCTCTCTGAAAATTTGACTAAGTCCTACTTATCAATAAATGAAAGCCCAGTGAGCATCTATCAATAGCTCTGTAAAAAAGTAAGGGAAATGGGAAGCCCTGTGGTTGTGGAGGATGTGTTAAGGGTCCATCTGCCTAAAGGTGCAGGGAGAACAGCACACTCCTATGCTCCTTTCCAACTGCTGCCTGGATGGAGGTGAGGACTTTAAGGCTAGAGGTCTGCTGCCCACCAGAGAGGGGCTTCTCCTAATAGAAAGCTCTGTGGTGGTCTACTCTACCCCCAGCTTTCTGTACACTCCTGCCCTTGCTCCTCCCAGGATCTCTCAAAGCACAGCTCTGTACCTTTTTCCTCATGATTCCAGTTTCTCCTTTGAGCCTCAAGTTTGATTCCTTTTCATCCCGAAGCTTTTTTTCATACTTGGTTTTGATATCTTGGATTTCTCGATCTTCATCTTCTTCAATCTGCTTCTTGGTCTCTTCAAACTCTCGTAGTTGCTGCCTGACATCTTCCTGTGCCTGGAGGTAGAGAAAAAGAGAGCAAGAGGTGGAAGAGAGAAGGAAGTGCGGAGACAGGAGAGGGAGAGGGTTGAGGGAGATAGGCAATACCAGGAGAGAAGGAACTGAGGACACTCATGTGCTAAGGGGGCCCAGGATGAGAGGACCACATGAAGACCTATCACATGGGAGATCAAGTGTCACTACAGGGATGAAAACTGTTATTACAAAAATGGGTCCCTTGACTCTTCCACTTTCTTCCTGTCTGGCCTTTTGCTTATCTTCTTGCTCTCCTTTTTTCCCACCCAGATTAGGCCCCAGGCTCCCTCATTTGAATCACCCTCTTACCTACACCCCCAGACTCTGCTCTCTCTTCTTTTTTACACTGACACCTGTGTCTTTCCTTCACAGAACTTAAGACAGATTAAATTTTATATATATTTGAGAAATTATTTGATCGTCTCTCCCACTAGATGTAAATTCCTTGAGGGTAGAAGCCTTGTGTAATACACTCACTGGTGTATTCCCAGTACACAGCAAACCTAACAGGTGCTCAATAAATATTTGAATGGATGAGTGACCCCAATCTGTCCTCCCTCCCCACCAGCCAGTCAATCCTGCCCCTTCCACATCCCTAATAATCCTTGCATCCATCCGCTGCTTTTTTATGCCCCTGCCCAGGCCACTCCACCCTTTGCCTGGCTAGCTGTCTCAAACTTTTAACCATCCTGTTCTTCCCTCTGGGCATTCTTCCCTCCACTCTATTTCCACTCTCTAGTCAGCACACCACCACCAATTTAAACATCTTCTATGGTGTGGCACTGTGGGTTAATGCGCCAGACTGTAAAGCCGTTTGAACTGCAAGGTCGGCAGTTCAAGCTCACCAGCTGATCCTCGGAAACCCCATACAGGATTGCTATGGGTCGGAACCGACTCGACAGCACTTCACAACGACAACAACATGGCTCACGCTTTTCCTCAGGATGAAATCCAGACTTTTGAACACAATCTCCAGGGCTCTGTACCAGTTAGCTCTGCCTCCCCTTCTATTTACCCCTGGCCCAAGCTCTTTCCAGAGCACACTAATTTCAGTTCCCCAGCTGTGCATGTTCTGCTTGTCTTTGGCATGCACTGTCCCCTGGCTCTCTTTTTTTTTCTTTCTTTAGCCCTTAATTCAAACATCATTCCCTGTAGGAAGCCTGCATGCCCTCCATCACTAGACATTATACTGCAATTGTCTGCTTGACAGATTCCTTCACTAGACTGCAAGCTCCTTGAAGCACGGATCGAGGCTCTCTGCTCACCATCATCAACAGCCGGCACAACACATGGACTATAATTGGTGCTGAGTGAGTGAAGGTCTACAGCCTAGAGGCTGGAAAAGCTAGTTCTGCCTGGTGGAGTTTAGGAAGTGACTAGGGTACTACGTTCTTTTGCTTATTGTACAGATGTTTGTGGTGGATACTTTAGATTCTGTCTGAATCAATCACTTTCCTCTCATATTGACGTTGGGATTTTCCCAGGCTATATGGAGGTGTTGAGAGAGACAAAATGGTTTTAAAACTAGCTTCACTGCCTCTTAAGAAAGGCTTCCGTCTTTCTATCATATATTACTGAATGCTTGCCTGGTCATCTCTGTCTATGGCTCACAATACTTAGCAAACTGCTGTTGTTGATCTGGTAGATGTTGCTGAAAAGTAAAAAGGCCTAATCAGGGAATTTCTTAGTTTAAACCTTGTTACAAATTACTATGGACTCGAAAGAAGGAATGCGTTATCACTAGGAGAGGCCCTGGGACAAAGGCCAACATCTCTCCCCTCTGGACGGATTCATTTTCCCTGAGCTCAGATTAGTTTGCTGGAAGTCAAGAAACACCTCTGAAGTATTGCTGTGTGCGGGACCCTGTGCTGGGTCTAGGGAGTCAATTATGGATGAAACACAGTTCCTTCCCTGAGAACACAGGATGTCAACAATGACCCTTGCCTGGACTCTGTAAGGATGAACAGAGTGGCCAAATGTAGGAGGAGATATCCTGGGAAGAGAAGATCAGGAGCCGAGGCTCAGGTGCTGTGGGGAAAACTACTGGAAGCTCCGTATTGTGTAAGACATGGGAAGCAGGCCATGGGGCTGAGTCAGGGTGGCATGTACAAGCTGTGCTGAAGAACACTCCTCATATCTTGGAACCGTGTGAGGTTCAGATGGAGGTGGAATTCTCGGAACTCCTCATTGCTGCTGTGTCAAAGCTCAGTCTCTCCTGAGACTTAGACCATCTGTGAGATCTCCAGCCGTCACTTAAGGTTTTGTGTTCACTTGATTGGGTCAGGATTCTCAGTGGCTTGAGATGTAGTTATTCCTATAATAAAGTATGTAGTTGTTATTAAGTGCCATCGAGTTGGTTACGACCCATAGCGACCCTGTATAGGGTTTCCGAGGAGCGGCTGGTGAGTTTGAGCTGCCAACCTTGCAGTTCAAATGGCTTTGCAGTCTGGCACATTAACCCACAGCGCCACACCAGGACTCCATAATAAGGTACAATATAATGTAATTAGAAGACTGGTTTCCTCAGGGTTGTAGCCTGCTTCCAATATATTTAACACTCAGGTAGAGCTTTCTTTCTTTCTTTCTTTCTGCTGATTCTGGATCTTGCATCTGGCTCATCCTCCAATCTCTGGTTCTTTGGACTTAAAGTCAGTGACCTGTATTACATGCTTGCCCATGTGCCTACTAGAGCTGCTTGCCTGCCACCTGACCTCCCGATCTTGGTTCATCTGACCCGGACTTGGGCCTCTGTCACCTCTTGATATAAACTTCTCTTAATATGTACGTATCTAAGTTTCACTGGTTTTGCTTTTCTATAGCACCCAGCCTAAGACATTTGGTACTGGGAGTGGCTCTAGAGAAACAAAATCACAAAGATGGGTTCTCTAACTAGTTTAATGGCACTGATGATGTTTCTAGTAACAAACAGGGTGCTGCTAATCTATGGCATGAGGTGGCAACATCAACACACAAAATATCACCACCTGTAGATCAAGTATTGATGATGGATGAGATTCCAAATCATCATATGTTTAACACTTTTCTGGAATTTTGTCAGGATGAGAAGTATAGGGAAGCTGGTTGGTTGGGCCTACTGACAATAGACCAACCGGTAAAGGAGAGAGAGCTCAGTGCTTCAGAGCTACAGATCAAGCAATACATAACAGACCTCCAAGTTTCCACTTGTACTGTGAAAGAGAGCCTTATTTCTTATAGTAACAGATCTGATATTGTTGAAAACCAAACCCACAGTCTTATCATAAGACTGGCTGAATTATAATGCCACCTGAATTCCCAATCTCAAATGGTGTCTGATGTTAAAGTGAAGGCACTGATTGGGAAGAAACGGGATCCTGAAACTTGGGATGGGGACATATGGGCAGAAAATCAAGTAGCTGGGGATACTGAGTTCCTAAATTCTGTCAAATCACTCTCGTCAACAACACCAACCCTTTCATCTGAAGACACTACTCCATCTTTGTCTATTGTCCATTATTCAACTGTGCCTACTGAGATAATGCCTGAGGCATAGCCTTGGGGGTCTCATCTAAGGTCTTGCAAGACATTGCTGAAAGTTCCAGGAAACACCTCCACCAATTATTGCTTCTAGACCTAAAGGTGAAGTACAAATTGTGACCCACTGCACTCTAAAATAACAGCTTGATTTTTCTAATATGGACAAGAAGACACCTGGAGAATATGTGTGTGGAATAAGGTAAAATAAGATTGCAATAAGACTGAACATAAGATTGGATTGTTGTTGTTGTTGTTAGGTGCCATTGAGTCAGTATTGACCCATAGCAACTTTACGCACAGCAGAACAAAGCACTTCCCGATCCTGGGTCAACCTCACTACCGTTGCCACACTAGAGCCCATCGATGCTGCCACTTGGCCAATCCATCTCATTGGGGGTCTTCCTCTTTTTCTCTGACCCGCCACCTTAACAAACATGATATCCTTCTCCAGGTCCCTCCTGACAATATGTCCGAAGTATGAGAGACAAGGTTTGGCCATCTTGGTCTCCAAGGGGCACTCTGGCTGCACTTCTTTCAAATCGCATCTATTGGTTGTTTTGGCAGCCCATGGCACTTTCAATATTCTCCTCCAACACCATAACTCAAAAGCATCAATTCTTCTACGGTCTTCCTTATTC